TTGCGCTACCCTCTTGTTACACTGTACTTTAACTCACGGGATGGGCATGAAATCTAACTTAATTTACGCGTTGATCATGCTGTGCTCTGGAGGTTGTACTGCAGTATTGATTCATCGTGGCTTACACGGGTATTACGGCATGGGAATCCACAGCTTCAACATATCATTTCTTCTAGTGCTTCCTTCGTTTGTTGTGCTCATCAAAATCCAACGTGGTCTTCGGTTCACGGCAAGGAAGATATTTCTTCGCTGGAAAACCCACGTTATTGCCGTCCTCCTTTCGTTATGTTTGGTTGTGTATTATTTATCAGCTAATGGTCTCTGGTATGCACAACATCCAAGCATCACAAAAGCAATGTGTAAAAAACTTTTAAAGTTTGCCAAATTTGCACAGTCCAATGGGATCACCGAGTGGTGGTTAACCATGGGGGATCTTCTAGCTGTTCAAAGAGGTCTCGACCAGCCACTTTATTGGGAACACGACATCGATGTTTGCATGAMTACTGAACAATTCACCGTCTTTAAAAAATCTCTCGCTTCAAACCCAGACTTTTTCCACCCAAAGCCTGAATATATAAAAGCTGATCATCTGTATCTCCCGATAGACATGGATAAGCTTGGACTTCTAAGTACCACGAAAAGGACCGCAGAGGGAGTAAATATTGATATTTGGACGTGTACAAAACTTGTAGCAAACGTGACGCGTGTTTCTTACTGCAATGGGTTAATGAATTTCCCGAAGTCAAAGTTAGAAAGACGTGCATTACTGAAAAGTTATTATGGTGATTTTTCTGTAGTTAAATATTCCCACCATACATGGATGTGTAATATATGGACAGGTTAATCACATTGTGCACCCTGAGTCTGAATTTTCCTATGTGAGGTATTTTGTCATTAAGGTGAAAAATGGGAAATTGCATTATTTTTCTGTTCTCTGTCCTCGAGAAAATATGAAAAACAACATTATACTGCAGCACATTGTAAGGCCTTCCTTGTAATTGCCATCCAGTTYGAATTCTTTGAACAGGAAAACAGCTATGAAAATTATGTGGGTACTAGCAAAATGGTTTGGGGTATTTATTTGGTATAAAAAAGAGAATAGTCTAAGGCAAAGACAAAAGGGAGTAACACTTAATAAAATGTGATTATCTAAATTTCCCACTAAATATAAAGAACCATTCGATATTTTGTTTTCCTTTGCTTCAGAAGATTGAATAAAACCATAGTAACTATATGGAATAATAGTTTACGTCAAATATGTAAACAATGAAAGCGAAAGCCAATCAGTCTCAAAGGGTCCACTTAGTATTCACTGTTCTTTTTAAGTCAGTAGCATTTTACCAATAATTTGAATCACAATTGCCATTTCAACCATATTGTATTCAACAAAAGCTTAGGAATACAAGCAGTAGGTGGGGACTTTTTCTTTCTTTCTTTTCAACTGAGAAAACAGGAAAAGCTTCTTTTGAAATAAATAATAGGAAATAAGCCACCTAGAAATGGCTGAAGAATTGAAATTCTTAAAAATAGTTAAAGTTGCTGAAAACAGAGAAACAGAAGATAAAATTCTATTTGAAAATAGAGGAAAATTTAATACAAATATTCTTATTAAAGAGCTACTTGATGAAAATTGCGAAACATTAGAAAAGACTTGGAAATCAAATAGAACTATCCATATGGGTCTAATAACCATGAAGCAACAGATTTTAAGAAGATATTGATACAAATCCTTAATAATTTGGGCAAAAAATGTTGGAGTAGATGACGTCACTTACTCCATCCTTTTTTTCTTCCATCTTTTGAATCAAAATTTCTCCGCGTAACCCTTATCGATGACATCTTGCATGGCTGCATTGTACTTGCTGTGGTACTCTTTGTCTTTTATAAACCGTTGTCTTAATTTGTTTAAACGTTGTAAAGCGAGATGCTTGTTATTCTGTAGTATTAAGTTTTCGTCTCTTAGTGGGAGAGGCATTTCATAGTGTCCGTCGGGTAATTGACGTACTGAGTTCTCCATTATCTCGAGAAATCTTCTCTCCTCTCTTGAGAGTTCCTTAGGTTCGTGGTACACTTCTGAGAAATCCATCTCGAACATGGTATTGACTTGAGCTGGGTTGATGATTTCTTTCGTTCTTGTCTTAACTACAAAACGTGACCGTTTAGTATCTTCTCCAATGACTTCGCAAGAAATCAATTTGTGACTAGTGGTATGGCTGTATAATCCGTCTTCCTCGGTTGAGTTTTCAGTCCTTGTACTTCCAATGATGCCCCATCCTAATATGGTTTTCAATGCATATGGCTCCTTGTCTCTGCCTGGTATTACTCTTCCAGGCATTATAGCTCGTTGGCAATCTGCTCCTATCAAAATAGCCACTTGTACATCATCGCGGCGAGCCATCAGTTTGTCTTSGATCTTTTTYAAGTGATTCCACTTTCTTGCTGAGTCTGGGCAGGGAATACTATTCCTTTGAGCTGGAATCTTCTCACGAGAGAATGTTGCTGGTAGATCGATCTTGACCTTGCGTTCGATGTCTTGTACCTTTAGACCGGTGATCTTTTTGCAGAGGACTATCTCGTTTTCACCATGCATGGTCGACAATGACAAATACGTGCTTGGTCCAGTTACTCCMAGTTTGGCCAACAATTCRTCGTTAACGAAGGTAGTGTCTGACTGGTCGTCTAACACTGCGWAGACGAGGTATGATAAGTTTGGGTTGCTTCTGTGGTGTACCCAGACGGRCACGATGAGAGCTAAAACTTCATCTTCAGCTCTTGTGCAGTGCGATGTAGCAARTTTGRTATCAACTTTATTTGCTGCTCTCTGTTCGGCACGTTGGACGTAATCTTGGTGAAGTGATGTAGGGTGTGAGCGTTTGCAT